ACGGCGGAGACGGAGAGGGATGTCGCTAGGGTTGAATGGAGTAGAAGCGAAGGGGGTAGGGGGTTGTTAGGACACTGATATATCAATTAGACCCAGCTTCTGAGCCGTTGGATCATCTAACCTCGACGGCTCAGATTTAATGGCTATGAAACGACGTCGTTTTGGTTATGGGGGTGCTGGACCGGATTGGAGAGCTTTGGGCCGGGTAAAATGGGTTTTGGGTGGGTGTTTTGCGGGGTTCTTGATTTGGGCCAGCCCAAAATTGGGTCTCTTCTATTAAAACTCAATTTCTTTTGATTTTCTTTTCTTTTCTTTTCAAATTAAATCTAAATTAACTCTAAAAAAACTAAATTAACCTACCTAATTATATTAAGCTCTAATTAATAATCAACACTATTAATTAAATACCAATTTAAAGGAAAACTAAATAAAGTTCAAAGCTAAAATTAAACAAAGCAAATAAATCAATTTTTGTGATTTTTTGTATTTTTTTAAAACCCTAATTACTAATTAATCTAAAATATGTAAAATTAAATCCTAAATACGGATGCAACGTATTTTTGTATTTTTGTGAATTATATAAATTAAAAGTGCACACAGAAATGCAAATACACATGAAAATTATGCAATGAAATCCTAAAAATCAAATAATTAAAAGAAAAATCCTAAATCTAAGAATTCTGTAGGAGTAATTCATGCGAGGCAAAAATCACGTGCTCACATCAATTGATTGAAGAATCAAGGAAGTACTCCCATTAATTAAGGGAATCAAAATCAAACGAAAAGATTCAGCACCATACAAGGCAAGTAGAAAAATCAGGGCAGGGTTAAATAAGGAATGAGTCAAGGTTCAGTATGCATATAGTAACCAATTAAGACCAAATTCAGGAAAATTACAATTAAGGAAAGGCTAGGTAGAATAGAGTACCATAGAAAATAAGGTAACAAAGATCAGTTAATTTAAAACAGGCGAATATAATGCTAGGGTTTTGAAGGAAAGTTTTTGAATTATCAATCAATCAAAGAAAATCAGAATAAATCATGCGAAGTCATGATTCTGCATTCTCAACGTATAAATAGAGGTGAATGAACAAGAGTAACAAACAAAATCAGCCATATAGACATAAGGGGGACAAGAGATGAACAACACAACCATCCAGAGATAGTGAAAATAGGTTAGGATTCAACAAGGCATATTCGAAGCATGGTGACCATGAGACATTAACAAGAATCAAGTAAATAGGCTAGCAGACAGACCCAAAGTAAAGAAAATCAGGCTATCACACATAATCAAACGAAGAAACATGCTAACATATAGAGACAAGGCAAAGGAAATTAGGCTAACACATATAATCGAAGCAAAGAAGCATGCTAACACACATAATCAAACGAAGAAATATTTTTTAGGAATTAGGGTTTTTAGCAGAGTCAAACTAAAGAACAGTAAGAGCATAGAAATCGGTCAGAATAAACAGGGAAAAGGTTTTAATCATAAAGAAAATTGGTCGAAATATGCGTAAAAGAAATCCAAGAAACCCTAGATTTCAAAAGAAAGTAAAAATGGTTCAAAGTAGAGAATCTTTCAGAAGAAACTCGAGAATAAGCAGAGCATAGAGAAAAATATGAAAATAGCATGAAAATAACACTGTTTTGAGAGATTTAGGAGAGGGTTAGGGTTTCAAAAAAAGGGGGGAAAACTCTAATAGAAGTGGAGAGAACCTGTTAACACTTCAGAGATCGTGACATATAGGGTGTGATTTCGCCTGAAATCACACCGGAGAACTCACAGGTAGCAGAACCAGGAACCCTAGGTCTGAATCACCAAGGTCCATAGACCTTGAAGGTCCTAGAGATGTTGAACAGGACAACGAGAGGCCCATCGGAGCCTTGGGGTTGAAGGGAGGTGGCCGGAGATGGCCGGAGAGGCGGTGGAGATCATCTGAGAAGAGAGAACCAAAAGGTGCTAGAGGGAAGGGAGAGGAGGAGACGATATAGAGAGAGAGACAGTCTCAGAGAGAATGAGGGATCTGGGGGGGGGGGTGTGGGTGTAATTGAATTTAATTAAGGGAATTAGATCTGGGCCGTGGATCTCATTTTGATCAACGACTCAGATTAAAAAAAGGTTGGACCGTGTTATATTAGGGATTGGGCTGGGTTAGTTTAATTAGGATATTGGGCCATTTGAATCTGATAGTGGGTGTGGCCAATTTGGCTAGAATTGAAATAATTAAGGGTTGTTTGCTAAATAGCCAATTTTCCTCTTTTATCATTTTATAAAATATTAAAAAATGATTTTAAAAAAATTAAAGGTACTGGAGTAATTAATAACATATAAATATTAATCTAAAAATACCAAAAGTGATTTTATAATTGTAAAATGCTGTTAATTGTAAAATAGGCCATAATTGCAATTATATGCAATTTAGCTAAAAAAAATACCAAACAAATGTATAAAAATATGCAAAAATTACCTTAATTATATCTTAGTGTAAATATGAGAATGAAAATAAATTATTCACCAAAAAATGCTAGTTTAGAAATAATTATTGAATTTTGTAGTATTAAAATAGACAATAAATTAATTTGAAAAAATCTTTAAAAAATAAAGAAAAAATACCAAAACTCTTGGGCATGCTTATATATGCATGTAGATGCTATTTTGAGAATATTTTGAGTATAAAAAATATGTAGGGAAAAAATGGGTATCAACACACCTCTCTCATTCTTCTCTTTTGTTCATTTTATTTGAATACTATAAGCATGCTAAGTTAGGTTCTGTCTGTTACAGTTGTTCTATGGTATTTAATATGTTAATATTTGTGCTCTGTTAGTTTAATGGCTACTTGTGATTAGTTGTCTTGCTATGAGTCTTTAAATGATGCTTGTTTAATATGTATAATTGATTCTTGTTGATTTTACTTCCTGAGTTTCTAACCGTTTGCATGTTTAAGTTATTATATGTTCATGTTCACATGAACCCTATAAGTTTTGTTGGCACGCAATAACTCTTATCCTTGCTTGTTGCATCTCTGTAGCTTGTGAATTTTTTGAAGTTGAACCTATATTCTGATAACTATGATTAAGTGAATCTTAAGGTGTTTCAGTTATATCTCCAATCCTTCAACCATAAGCAGGAACTCTAAGTGTGTATATGTTATTTCCCTGCTCATGTCTGTTAGACTGTTTCTGAGTAGCTACTATGGTCTTCTATTTTGTTTAGTTGTTTGTTGCTTCTGTTAACATGATCTTGTTTGAACTAAATGATGACGTCCAAATTCACTACTAAAAAGTAAATGGACACGGTCACATGCAATATAATTTACCCAACTATGAGTTGGGGTCGAATCCCACAGAGAACAATATGTAGGCGATTAGGCGTGTAAGAGAATTATCACTTATTATGCTAAGCCAAACACTTGGAAAAGTTATGAGAAAATATTATAGCTAAACGAGGAAATATAAACTAACCTAGAAAGCAAATAAATGATCAATGGCTACACGCATGGATACACGGGGAATTATACTCAAGTAACGATCTAATGTATTTCACGATTTTACAAATATGAGCAAGTTTATATTAATTAGCCTCGGGTAATAATTCTATATTAGCTTCTTCCGAAGACTACCAAGACTTCCTAATTGAATTATCCCTAAAACAATTAAGTGATTAAGCACACCCGAATATGGCTACAAGTAGTTCAATCCTATCCTTAGGTAGAATCTATGAAATGACGGTTAAAGCCTCAAGTTCTTGTTAATTAATCTTTTCCAACCCCAAATTATCTTTTCCAAAATTAATTCAAAGTAAATGGGCGAGTCCTAGGGTTAGCTAATCACTTTAGAAACATCAAAGAACAAGAATAGTTAAAAAAAGAATAACTCACTACAATATAATTAAAAATCATTCAATACATAACCACAACAAGATGTTTCATCGACACTTTAAATAAGAATATTCCCATAAATAAGATTCAAGTGTTGGAAAAAATACTACACACTTAGATATTCAATACAAAGCAAGAAAATGAAGAAATGAACATAAATGGGTAAGAAATTCTCAACCAAAAGCTCCAAATCATCAAGACCCAAGTGTGTGTGCAAGAACCCTAGCTCCAAAACTTGTGTTCTCTTCTCAAAATGTGCCAAAGATGCCCAAAGACTACAAAAGATATTTTACAAATGAGCTAGGTCATTTATTAAAGGATTTGGGATGAAGAAAATGTAAAATGACAGAAGTGTCCAAGTTACGCCCCGCAACATTACGATGACGTTACGCTTCACAGTATTAAATTACTACGATGTTGCACCCTGTAGTATTGTACGTTGAATTTGTCGTAAGGTAATTGACATCAGTCCAAGGAAAAGATTATTTGGAAATTATAAGGATTATGCTATTTCACAAGTGATGAGTAAATTCGTGAAGGGGAGAGGGGAAGCAAGTCAAAGAAAATAAATTTTCGTCCGAGTTTGGCATGTTGGGATAAAATTCGGGCCAAGCGTTAATACCCGATATTTATGGATTAGTACCATACAAGGTACCATATGACCGTGATAGTAAGATGTATAAAGTGTATTTAAAATGAGTGAAATTTTAAATAATTTGAGATAATTCTTAATTATGCGGGTAATTAGCTAATTACCGGGTAATAAGACATTACCTAATTGTCTAATAAGTGGATAAAAATTAAAACAACCCCACCCCACCCAACGTGGCAGCAAGCCACTAACGAATAAGTGACTCATGGTCACATTAGATTAGGTGGCTAACCCAATTGTCATTATAGAAACCATAAAAGGAAAACAAGTATGATAAAGTACAAAACTTTCATGCTTAATATCTACTCCCAATTGACGTTATTAAAACCAGATAAGGAAGAAACTTGGAGAAAGTCCAAAATTTCCATGCTTAGCCAAAAATACATTAAAAAGGTGGGGTCCAATGCTTAATTCTATTGAAAATAGACATTCTTTCTCATCTCTACTATTTAGGATAAACACAAATTTGGCCTTGTTAATAGTGAGTTCACAGTAAGAATGGAAGACCAAGAACAGGGGACCAAGTCAAGAGTTATGAAGGTAGACTCTATGGAATCATGGGATTTCTATGTTAATCAAGCCACTGTTCAAGGATGCCCTATTGTGGCACACTTTACTGCTGCTTGGTGTATTCCCTCTTTGGCAATGAACCCTTTTATGGAGGAGTTGGCTTCTATGTACCAAAATACTATATCTTTTCTCACAATTGATGTGGATGAGGTCAAGGTCCAACGTGAAATGCTAAGTCAAAGAAGGCGCGGTACAATCTTTCTCAAGAGTATCATACGGATTCTTCCCTACTTCGATCCTCCGTTACGTATTTTCGCAAAAGAGAATCGGTTCAGGTATGTTACGGCTATCTCTTCCTTCCTTTTAGCATGATCCAAATAATACAAATGAAACGAGCAAAATACGCAACTTTCATAAATGACTCTATTCATAGAAATATTAGGGGTATCTATATTCTTGATTCCCCATGTGAACTATTATTATATCTTCTATTCATGGGTCTCAGAAAAATACATATTTGATAAAGTTTATCCGAAAGACATATTGATTTTTATGGCATTCCGAGAAAATCTTATTAACGTAGTTCTAATGCATTTTAGCATTTATACATGTCCTTGACCCATGACCAGATGGCGTTATATACGCGTATATATATGTATATATATATGTATATGGGATATGGGAAAGGTTATGGCATTATATACGCACCACCACCTGATCAGCTGGTATACGTTGATGATTTTGCCCATAGTAGCCGAGATGATATGATGGGATGCCCTCAGAGGCCTGATGATGTTATGAAGCATGTACCTATGCACGACATGACATTCATACGCATATGCATGACACTATAATTATTTCATGATTTACGGAGTTATCAAGACTTATAAGTTGAGTCATTTACTCTATATTCCTTCCATGTCTGTTATGTACTTATTTATGTGCCTTACATACTCGGTACACTATTCGTACTGACCTCCCTTTTGCCTGGGGACGCTGCTTTTCATGCCCGCCTGTCTCGATAGACAGGTCGAGAGTCCTCCAAGTAGGCGATCAGCTCAGCGGAAGATGTTGGTGCACTCCATTTGCTCCGGAGTTGCTTGTTTGGTTAATATGATTTAGATGTGTATTACTTGGTATGGCGGGGCTCTGTCCCGACCTTTATGACAATTATGTATCCTTAGAGGCTTGTAGACAGATGTTATGTACTAAAGGATTGTATGGCCTTGTCGGCCTATGTTCAGTATACGAGTGATTATTTTGGCCTTACAGGCCCGTACGTCACATGTATAAGTTTGGATTACATGTTAGATCGTCCAATGTCGAGTATTTCTCCATGTTTATTGTACTTATCTCACGACAGTCTCTCTGGCTCATTTACCTATGATAGTATGATACGAAAGATACATTACGTAGGTACTCATTTGAGTAAGGTATCGGGTGCCCATTGCGATCCATCGGTTTGGGTCGTGACAAAAGTGGTATCAGAGCAGTTCTGTCATAGGGAGTCTACTAGCCGTGTCTAGTAGAGTCTTGTTTATGGATGTGTTGTGCACCACACTTATAAGCAGGAGGCTACAGGGCATTTAGGACTGTCACTCTTTCTTCTTACTCTAGATCGTGTCATAGAGCTCAATTGTAAGAACACAATTTCCTAAACTCGATCTTATTCATACTACGACGATGCCTACATCCAGAAGGACGGTTGGTAAGAGATATAGCTGTGGAAGATTTGAGTCAGATGAACTCGATTTTTGTATCATGCTTATGATGGATAAATTTGAGGTATTCAGCAGATCATGTGTGTACTAAGACGTGTAAGTTTCTTGATAAGGATCCCTAAGGCAACAACGTCTATCCACTCTTACGGCGAAAAGAAATAAAAGAATCAGAAGGTAGACACAAGTTGTAGCAAGTAAAAGAATCAAGATGAAGAAGGGTACGAGGCACCCAGTTAATGAAGGTTAACAGTATTTACAACTCAGGCAGAGGAATATAAGCCTTTTGAGTGACCTTCAACAGTAACATAGGTATGTATAATTGGCCACACCGATCTAAGTTATACTTTATAGGGGCTAACAAATATGGTTTAAGAGAAGGACATAATATCACGATCCGGCTGGGGTTAGAGTGAGCCAAAATGATGGATGAATTGTTTGCGTTAGTTGACATTTCCGAAGGATATTGCAAATATGCTAATAGATCTCCTTGTGAAACACCTAGATGGTGCACACTAAAATAGTACAACTATATATGAGTACTACAAAGATAGGAAATGAAAACCTTGAAGGGATAAATATTACCTTAGAATGGCTCCCGTCCCTAGTAGAAGGAGAATGTAGGCAGCCGAAGAGCAAGTAGATGGAGCAAGGGAAGGGTAAAAGCGAAAGAATGTCTTGTTAAAGTTTTCAGGATAAAGTGATAGATAGAAATATCAGCAGGGAAGTACGAAGAGGGATAATGAAGCATTATGAGTGAGATGTGATACATGGATGACAACAGTAGAGTGGTACAGAAGGATTATCGCAAGGCGAGTAAGGGTCATCGACGATGTGAAAAGACGCTAGAGATGAAAAGGTAAAACATCTATATGTAGATCATCATAGCACTAAATCTTAGTACTCCCCAAAAGGGGGGAATATGGAGTGATGTGGCATTAAGACAGAATTAAGTTGTTCTAGTAACTCCGGAATGGTAAAGGAAGAGTGCGATAAAAATGAGAAAGGAATGAGATTGCACTTATCCGAATCCTATAGATATACTATGATTCCAGAACATTATGTAAGCACGACGTCAAAAAAAAAGGAAGTAAGGGTTCCTGCCCGGAAGGTTATTGATAAATAAGGAGCCAATACAAGAGGTAAGTTAGACAAAGGAAATAACCCAAGAGAGATTACGCGGAATATGGATATGAGAATGGGCCGACGAGTAGTTAGTAGTTGATTCAGGAGGAGCCTAGTCATGACTAGACAAGAAGTTTACAGACAAATCAGCATATCATGCAAGATAAATGTAGTAAACCCCAACATGAAGAATTCAGCCTCGCAGTAATGTCATTATAATACTTGAGATATATTCAAATAGGAGTCGGGGTAGTTAAAGGTACCGTATGAGTATTACAGGGATAAAAGAATGTGCCACTAGGAAGACAGTTAAAATATCAGTTCAGATGCAACCCTACAAGCACAAGGACACAAAGGTAAGCAACTACAGATGATAATAGGCAAGGAAGGACATCAAAAGGTCCGTAATAAGCTCACAACTTTACGAGAGTCAAGGGTTCTCCCTAAGTACTACAACAAAAGACTAGCTGAGGAAATAAGGAAGAAGGCTTCAACCTAAGCACACCGACCTAAAGAGGAAATGGTCGTGTAACAATAGTCTCACAACAACGTTGTAAGCACTCCAAAGGAAAGTAGCACCTACCGTGGCTAATGAACGGGAAGTAAAATTAAAAGTAATATTCGAGATCATATGATTTGCACGAAAACTCTGGCATGTATGGGCACTAAGATAAGCTAAGTATGGACACAACAAGGGGGCAGAAAGACCAGGAAAAGTAATAACTAATACCATGAGCCGCAGATTGGAAGATAACTTAAGCCAACATAAAGGTCGATCAGAAGAAGGAGGAAACTAAAGAGTTACATCAACGAAGTAGATTATTGGACCCAGAAGTTATAGGAATCATGATTGAGAACATAGCAGAATCACTCTTAATATTAGAGGTGCAAGAGAGATAGCACAACAACTATATGCTATAACGGCTCTATGAGAAAGACAGTTAGAAGAGTACCAGCCTCATAAAAAGTCAGTATGGAGCTACCACCAGATCGTGTATGCACCAGAGGTGTAAGTATTATAATAGAGCTTCAAATTGTGGATGTGAATTATACCTATGTGGAAGGGATGTCATGAGAGAGATAGAAGACGTGATGCAAAATTATAAGATAAGTAAGGTAAAGGTGAACACCGTACGAGATACTCAAATGTAGAAGGTTGTGAAAAGTCCATACTGCGGATAAAAGGCTAGAAGCGCGGGGATTCAGTATCCAGGAATGATAGCAACGTCGTCAGTGGCATACCTTCCGGCCTATGGTTTCTAAGTACCGAAAGGTCTAATTAGAGAGTAAAAGAAGAGTAAGAGACGATGTGATGTCTCGCCGGGTTCATCGGAATTTGATTGTACCCGGAGTAGGTGTCGAGAAAAGTTAGGATCTCGTGGCCGGCCGTGGCATCGATCATGCGATCGATGTTAGGCAGGGGAAAAGAGTCTTTAGGGCATGCCTTGTTTAAATCCTTATAATCTACGCACATTCTAAGTTTATTTCCCTTTTTAGGAACTACAACTACGTTGGCTAGCCATTCGGGGTATTTTACCTCCCGAATAGACCCTATTTTACGAAGTTTGGTTACCTTATCCTTTATGAATGCATGCTTCGCCTCAGACTGGGACCTCCTTTTTTGCTTTACCGGTTTGAACCTGGGGTCGTGGCTTAGCTGGTGTGTTGTTATTTTCGGTGGGATCACTGTCATGTCTAAATGCGACCAAGCAAAACAATCCATATTATCAATAAGAAATTGAATGAGTTTTTTCCTGAGTTCAGGGTTTAACCACGTACCCAGGTAAACCTTTCTCTCGGGCATGTATTCGATCAGTGTAACATGTTCCAGTTCCTTGACTGTCGACTTGGTTGCATCGGACTCTTCGGGAACTACGAAAGTTCGAGGAGTAAAGAGATCCTATTCTTCGTCCTCGGTTACCTACTGCTCCGATTTGGTCGAGGCTGGGGGCGGTGATTACTATTTAGCCATCTGCTTATCTTTGTCATTTGACTTTTCTAAGGTCGAAGGCGCCGGTATCAGCACCACCTCTTTGACTACAAACATCTCCTTTGCATCTTTTTGTTCTCCGTAAACCGTTTTCACACCGTCCATTGTTGGGAATTTCATCATCTGATGAAGGGTTGAAGGTACTGCCCCATGTTGTGTATCCATGGCCACCCGAGAAGTGCATTATACCTCATGTTGCCTTCGATGACATGGAATTTTGTATCTTGGATTGTCCAGACCATATTCACTAGTAGGATTATCTCCCCCTTTGTTGTTTCGCTTGCCATGTTAAAGCCATTTAGGACTCGGGATGCAGGTACAATTTGGTCCTCAAGGTCGAGCTGCTCTACGACCCTCGATCTGATTATGTTTGCTGAGCTACCTAGATCCACTAGAACACGTTTAACTTGAATTTTATTTAACAAAATAGAAATTACCAGGGCGTCGTTGTGCGGCTGAGATATGCCTTCCGCTTCTTCGTCATTGAATGATAGGACGCCCTCGGGCACATAGCTCCGAGTCCATTTTTCCCTAGTGATTGATACCTTGGTGCGTTTGAATACAAGCCCTTGTGGAACATCGACACCACCCACGATCATATGAATTACGTGTTGCGGTTCCTCCTGCTCATTTTTCTTTTTGCATCTCTTTCCCTGAAGTGGCTCTTAGCTCGATCACTCAGAAATTCTCGAAGATGACCCTCGTTGAACAACCGAGCTACCTCCTCCCTCAACTGCCTGCAGTCTTCGGTTCTATGGCCATGTGTGCCATGATATTTACACATCAAGTTCGGATTCCTTTGAGAAGGATCAGTTAGTATAGGCCTGGGTCACCTGGTGTCTTTGATTCTTCCAATTGCTGACACGATCCCCAATGCATCTACATTGAAATTATACTCCGACAATCGAGGTGCTTCCGTGGGGTCAGTATGTTTATCAAAACCATTCTTACTCATGAGTCCCCGAGAGCTTTGACCTCGATCATTTCTCCGATCGTTCCGATGAGCGTTACACCTCGAACTGTTGTTTCTCCGATCGACATATGGCTGATAATGTTCCTTTTTTGACCTTGATTCCCTGTCTGTATCCCTCGGAGGCTTAGCTGCCAACCTGTTACGATGAACTGAACCCGAGGGGGCTCCCAACTGGTCATCCTCGACCCTAATCTTCGATTGGTAACGATTATATACGTCTGACCATGTCACAGCTGGGTACTCGATCAGATTGTGCTTTAATTGTCGTGACGCGATCGAGCTTCACTCGTTCAAACCCTGCACAAAAGCCTGTACTACCCAATCATCCGAGACCGGTGGTAATTCCATTCGCTCCATTTGAAACCGGGACACGAAATCCTTAACATCTCATCATTCCTCTGTCTTATCTTAAAAATGTCTGATTTCCTTGTTGCCACCTTTATGGCCCCGGCATGTGCTTTCACAAAGGCATCTGCTAACATAGCAAACGAATCGATAGAGTTCGTGGGCAGGTTGTGATACCAAATCATGGCTTCTTTCGACAATGTTTCCCTAAACTTTTTCAACAATACTTATTCGATCTTATCGTCATTCAAGTTGTTTCCTTTAATCGTGCATGTGTATGAAGTAATATGTTCATTGGGGTCGGTTGTCCCATTGTACTTAGGTATATCGGGCATGCGAAACTTTTTAGGAATGGGCTTCGGAGCCGCACCCGAAGGGAACGACTTTTGTATGAACTTTTTGGCATCCAAACCTTTCAAGACCGGGGGTGCCCCCGCTATTTGATCAATACAGGAGTTATAAGTCTCCACCTTTTTATCATTATCCTCAATCTTCTTCTCCCCAGACTCGATCCTCTTGGTGAGTTCTTCAAGCATCCTCATAATTGTGGGGTCAGTCCCTGAGCCATTACCATTTGATCTCTTTGGCGCCCATTCAGTACGTCGAGTTTCGACTATACTCGGAGTTTTATTCTGACTTTGAAGTTGAGTAATGGCAATCTGTTGAGCTTGTAGCATCTCGAATATCACTTGGAGGCTGACTCCCCCATCTCTTATACCTTGTGTTCCTTGGCCCCTAGATTGGGCTTGTAAGGCCCCGAAAAATTTTGCTAAGTAATTTAGGATTTCGTGGTGCCAGGTAGGCTAAGTATAATATTTTATGTCCTATAATAATGATGTATATCAATTGGATACGGTAGATAAGCGTATAAGTCATATAATAAGTAATTTGGGGTCTAAGGAAAGGCCTAAGTCTAAGTCAAGTTAGAAAATTTCATAATGGGCTAAAATTCTAAATGAGTTCGCACAAATGAAAGGTTTTATGTGATGAAAAACCTACCAAATGAAAGATTTTCGAGTCTAGTTTCTAACGCTTCAAACCGTTCGTCATTTGGACATTCCTACACAAAGTTATGATCAAATTACCAAAGGCCAGATTTGCGATCAATTTCGCGATCGCAAAACGACTCTGTGGACCGCATACACGTCGCATAGTGAAGTAGAGTCGGGCAAAAATTATGTTGTTGCATGTTGATTACGCTGTTGCATAATTGATTATGCTATCGATTATGCTGCAAGTCTGCTGCCCACATATCAATTATGCTATAGCATAATTGCACAACATATTTGACTCCGGGGGTCATTTTTGGAGAACCCACTTTGATAAATAAGCTTTTGGGTTACATTTGGGGCTATTTTTATACTAAATCTAGAGAGAGGTGAGAGCATTTTAGAGAGAGAATGAGGAAGCCTAACATTATAACCATTCAATCTTTCATCAATCTTCGAGAATCAAGGAAACGAATCACAAGATCTTCATCTAAGAGGTAAGGTTCTATACACTAGACGTTAATTTCGAGTTTTGGGTACAAGATGGGTTATTGAGGTATGATTCTTGGGTGTAATAGTATTATGTATACATGCATGTACAAATTAGATTTTTGGGAAGATTGTTGAACACAAATAAGTAAAGATTGGGTTGGGGAATGAGGGAAATCTTGTAAAAGAGCTTTGAAATCAAGATGCACAACTAGTTTTTGATAAAATGCTCAAATGATCTAAAACCATGAATATCTTCCTAATTTGTGTTCGATTTTGTTATGTCTCAATGTAGATTGGGATTGCTTGAATTTCCGGAACGTTGTAGTAACTTAAGGAAAGATTAAACAAGGTATGTTGACTAAACTTCCTCTCTTACAATCGAATTCCATAAATATTTTCATAAGTTCAAGTATGGTTGGCTCAAGTTCATAAATCTTATATTCCGGGTTGTTACCCATAAACATGACTATTCCGAAATGAGCCTTATGAATAAAGATGTGTATATATATATATATATATATATATATATATATACACATATATATATTCTAAGTATGAGTTGCGTATTAATACGTTACGGCTTTGAGTCGTGTTTCAAATAAAGGCTAGTATGCCAAATTATGTGAGAAAATTCGATATGGTTGATACTCCTAATTGCTCTTATGTGTACCAAATGTATTTGATTGATTATGTCTAGTTGTTGGAAATCTATAAAGATGTTTGAAATGAATTTGTGTTGCAAGAATATAGGTGCAAGATGTGTCTCAATGCTTTCAATATGCTATTTTGTCAGATGAGAATGAGTGAAGAATGTGAAACATGTGCTAAAATGCCTAGACTTCAAGTCGAGTTTGATTTGAGATGGTTATGCCGAAATGTGTGAAATCCTCTTTATGCTTACGACCTAATTGCTCTCGTATGTGCCTATTATCTTGAATTGAAATGTTTAATGTTGAATTGATATTGATGTGAAATATGTGGAAAGAATTCGAAATAAGAAATGCGGCCAAGTGCCAAGTATGATGTAATGATTGTGGCCCCAAGTGTCGATTAATTGATATGTGTGATATAAACTTGAAATGAGATGATTGATGGAAAAAGGAAAAACTTCTTGGTAAGACAGCCTAGCCGATCGGGCTGAGATCAAATGACATGTCGCACACATGGTGGTACTCTGCTGATATTGAAACTGAAAAGTGAGAATGAAATTGTGATTGAGATACATGTCTCAAATGAGGCAACCTAGCCAATTGGGTCGTGATCGGACTCCGCGCAAGAAAGCGGTGGTATTTTGGATGATGATGTAACAATATTAAATGTCTCCAGGGGAGATGTCCTAGCCGGTCGGGTCGTGATCGGACTCCGTGCTAAGAGTCACGGTGAAATATGTATATGTATATAAAGGCGCAAAAATTGTGATTAAAATTGGGAATTGGTTGTGATGTGCATATTGTGAACAATGGTATTGTGAACAGTGGTATTATGAATTGTGGTGAATCGGTATTAAATATCTTCTATCCAATAATAGTATTGTCTTCATATCCCGAGTTTCATTTTCACAATATGAACTTTCGTATATTGAAAATTGTTATGTTTAACTTGGCCTTTGGATCATTGATTGTTACTTGTTGTTTACATGGTTGTCTTTTCTCATATTGGCATTCTATTTTGGAAGAGGACTTTTAGCTATTCATAGTAGTATTATTCGACAGTACTAACGTCCCTTTTGCCGGGGGCGCTACATCTTTAAATGGATGTAGGTGGTTTCGTAGCAGACAGTGTTGGCCGCAGCTAGTGGCGCATCCTCTTTTCAGCCGACTTGGTGAGCCCCACTTCATTTCGGGGTCCTGTATCATCTGTTCATCATGTACTTGTATATTTAGGTATAGTCAGATCCTTGTTGCCGGCATTTTCATATTTCTCTTCAGTTGTATTTAGAGGCTCCGTATACAGGTTGTGGGTGGTGTCGGGTATTGGAATTAAAATAGAAATATCGATATTTGGCAAAGATGTATAAAACTTGTAATTTTTTGAAAATTATGAACAAAGTTGCTAATGGAAATGAAAGGGAAGTCGTTAATGATATATTTATAGAATTTGATTAATGGTGTACATTTCTTCTTTATTCAAAGACGAATTTGGGTAGTGTGAAACCTAACAGGCTTTCTCAGACAGGTTTACTCGGTTGAGCGCCGGTTGTGCTCCTTGGTTTTTTGGGGGCGTGACAGGGCTTCCCAGCGTACACTTCCTCCGGGGTCTGCACCTAAATCTGCATTCAACGCAATGTGTGAACTAACATCAACTAGTTCCACATTATCGGTGGTACACCGACCCCTACATTGTTGTTTTCCCCATGAAATCCAAGACCATCATTGTCGTGAACAGGTGCGTTTTGCGAGTTTGACATGTTTAATCCTGAGAACAAAAATTCTTGACAAGAACAAGTGTGAAAATAACGTGTGTTAGCCCCACGGTGGGCGCCAAACTGTTTACCTCGAAAATATGAGTAACAATTAAACTTGATTTATGGTTTTAAAGATACGTGATTTAGTTCAATACTAATTAATAAACAAGAAATCTGAAGTATAAATGAAAGAAATAAGTAAAACCAAACCAGAATGTAGGCCAGTCTCGACTTCGAGCCAAAGTGACCTTGAGGTGAATCAAGAACAGTAAAGCTAGAATAATAAAGCTAAAGGACAATTTTGATGAACAATGAGCGAAAATGTAAGAGAGTATATTCTTTGCCAATGATTGATAATGTTTACAAATGATTGGGGTCCCCTTTATATAATAGAAGAACCCTAAATAAGGTACATTTCTATTTACAGTAAAGAATGTTATTGGGACAGCTGTCTAACCACCTAGTACGGATTCGTACAAATCTATTCCGGGATTTACGCCACGATCTTGAGGACGTGGCAGGAATCTAGCTCATTCTTTTTATAAATCCATAATGGCATTATCTCGAAGCTGGTCATATTAGGCTCCAACGTTCCTCGAACACTTAGTTTGTACTCTGTCGTCAAGCTCGAGCCTGGTCCATCGAGCTCGAACTCGATCCATCCTAAACTCGGGCCTGGGAAATCGGGCATACCTGATTCCGATCGTATACAAACACAATTATAGTGTAGTTAATTAATAGATAAAGTAAGTCCAAAAACTTGTATTTCTAGCCTACCATCAGACGCACACGGTCAAAACCCGGCTCAAGGGGTAGATCTCGACTACCCATAACCCCCAAGAGTCCAAACATGTGATTAGATTTCAAAACTAAGTCCAAATAAACCCTCAAATTCCCAAAATATATCCTCTTAAGTTTTAGACAAAAATTCTAAATTTCACTTCAGAAATTCATACAGGGATCAAGATATAAATTCAGATCCAAGTGAAAATTCCTTACTTCCAATGACGTAGTAAAATTGCTCTTCAAAATATTCACCTCTTGAAGTCTAGGATTCAAAATATAGAGAATGAGCAAAATCTCAAAATAAATTACTTAAGTGGACTGCCCAGACATACCCTTCGCAAACGCAGCCACTGCCTCGCGTTCGCGAAGCACAAATAGCCTCAGCCCAAAATAACTCTACACAAACGCGAAGATCCTCTCGCGAATGCAATGCCCGCGCTAGCCAAGCCTACGCGAATACGAGCCCTGCTCCTCGATTGCAAAGGATAAACCTCTGTCCGACTCAATGGCATCACGAACGTGGCTCCTTGAGCTCAAACGTGAAGAATAACTCATCTCAGACAATATCATTCACCGCGAATGCGGTAGACCCCACGTGAATGCGATGAATACTAGAAACTAGAAAACCTACAATCTCCAAATATGATCCGGGTAATCTAGAACTCGCCCAAGCCCTCCCGCGACCCCATCTAATCATACCAACAAGTCCATATACCTAGTTCAAACGTATCCAAGCGCTTGAAATACCACAAATAACATTATAACCAATAATCAACGATCAAAATCTTTTTCTTAAGTTTCAAACGTTGCAACTTTGCCGAGTACGTCCGTTTCACATTTAGAAATACCGGATAACAGTCAAACCTTGCACACAAATTTCTATCTACTAAATGAACCTACATAAAGTTCAGAAACACCAATCGGGCCCCAATAACATCAAAGTCAACTCCCAATCAAACTCTCCAAACCTTTAAATTGCCAACTTTCGGCAAATAAAGTGTCACGACCCAAGTTCTCCCTCCGTGAACTGTCGTGACGGCACCTATTCTCTACGACTAGGTAAGCCTAACAATTTGCGGAAAAATGAAATAAAGAAATGAAAACTAACCATTTTCAGATGATATAATAAAAGAGTTTAAAATATCGTTCGGCATATACAATAACAACATTCTCAACTGACCATAGCACTCCCAAAACCCGAAATCTCATGAATCACAAGCTAAAGAAATACATAGTGTTCTAACTCCAGAAGTCTAAACGAAAGAAAAATACAAGAAGTCTATAACTGAAGGGATAATAGAGAGGGACTTCTTGGTCTGCAGACGCGGCCGATATACCTCGAAGTCTCTGGATCGCCTCGCCTCACGGATAGTATGGTTGAGCAGAAGAACCTGGATCTGCACACGAAAAACATGTGCAGGAAAGGGCATGAGTACACCACGGCAGTACCCAGTAAGTGCCAAGCCTAACTCGGTCGAGTAGTGACGAGATCAGGTCAAGGCCCTACTGGTTATATATATAACAAGGTAAAACAGTATGAAATATGACAGTATAATTAAAATACTAACAGTCAATAAAGATGAAATCAAAGAAAGAAATAACTCAGTACACAGAGATAGCAACAGGGGATCTTCCAGGATAACATCCCGTAGTCCCAAACGTAAATGTGCAGGGGGATCTCCCGGAATACCGATCCGTAGTCCCAAAGTAAATATCCAGTACAGGGGGATCTCTCGGGATACCGTCCCGTAGCCCCAAATATAAATGTGTAGGGGGATCTCCCGGAATACCGATCCGTAGTCCTAAAGTAAATACACAACAATCTTAACAAGAAATCGACAGTTCTATCCAAGTTCGTATCAAGAAACAGGAAATTCTTACACTAGACATGCTACAAAGAATTCAAGTAAGCAGTTAAAGTAGATAAGACAGTTAAGTCACATAAGCATACTTTCCTAAGCTAAACAGGAGGCTTCACATACTAGTATTGCTCAATTAAAGGAAAAACATAGATATTTACTTAACGAAAACGGGATTTTTCAATAACTAGCACATGTACGCACTCGTCACCTCACGTACACGGCATTCATATAACAACAGTACCAAAATCCTAAGGGGAGTTCCCCCACACAAGGTTAGGGAAGCCACTTACCTCGAACCAGCTCAAAATCAATCCGCATCACGCTCTTGCCACGAGTATCCAACTCCGAGTGGCCCAAATCTAATTAAATCAATTACATAACGTAAATAAAACTACAAGCAACTAATTTAACTAATGAATTTAAAACTACGGCGAGAAATTAGAAAGACGCCCTCCACGGGCCCACGTCTCGGAATCGGGTAATAGTTACCAATTTAGGACACCCATTCACTCACGAGATCACTCGTCCAAAAATTACTCAAATCCGACAACTAAAACCCAATCAAAACCCAAAAACTCGATTGGGGAACTTTTCCCCCAAATTTCCATTTTTTCCACTCAAATTCCTTGATTAGATGAGTAAAACAACAATAGATCGATGAAATATAAACGAAATAGGGTTAGGAATCGTTACCCACTGATTCCCTCTTCAAAAACCTCACAACATCGCCTTCTCCCGAGCTCAAAATCGAATTTGATGGTATGAACTTCAAACCCTAGAAATTTCATATTTCTGCCTAGCGATTACCGCATCTGCGGTCATGGGGACGCACATGCGGTCCCGCACCTGCGTAAAAAGCATCGCATATGCGAAAACAACTTATCCGGGCTGGGGCTGCATCTGCTGTCACTGGGCCGCATTTGCGGTTCCGCATCTGTGGTTCCCCAGCTGCATCTGCGGTCCCTGAAGCACAAGGCCAGTCCCGCTTCTGCAGCGCCGCACCTGCAGTCCCACATACGCAGGATTAGCAATATCAGAAAATGCCTAAGTCCAAATTCCAATCCGTTAAGCATCCAAAACTCACCTGAGGCCCCCGGGACCTCAACCAAACATACCAACCAATCCTAAAATATCATACGGACTCAGCCGAGCCCTCAAATCACATTAAACAACGCTAAAATCACAAATCACCCTCCAATCCAAACTTAATAAACTTGAAATTTCAAAGTTCTACAACCGATGCCGAAACCAACCAAACCATGTCCGATTGACCCTAAATTTTGTACACAAGTCATATTCGACACTACGACCTATCCCAACTTCCGAAATCAGATTCCAACCCCGATATCAAAATTTCACTATCGGCCCGAAACTCCAAAAATTCAACCTTTGCCATTTCAAGACTAAATAAGCTACAGATCTCTAAACCACAATCCGGACATGCCCCTAAGCCCGAAATCACCCAATCGACGGATCCGGACCCGTCTTCACACAGCTCCGACTACGGTCCAATTTCTAAGACTTAAACTCTCATTTAGGGACTAAGTGTCCCAAAACACTCCAAAACTCAAGATGAACCATCCTGGCAAATCACAATAGTAGAAAATAGACACGGGGGAAGCAGTCAATAGGGGATCGGGGTGTTAATTTTCAAAATGACCGTCCGGATCGTTACATAAAGCCAAAACCTTTTAGGAACATCCAAATCCAAATTCAAATATATGCCCAAGTTCAGAATCACCACACGAATCTATTGGAACCATCAAATCACTAATCTGAGGTCGTTTACTCAAAAGTTATACCTTGGTCAACTCCAACAACTTATGCTTCCAAAAATGAAACTATATGTTCCAATCACGCTCAAACCTTTTCGAAACCAGACCAATCATACCCGCAAGTCACATTATAACAAATAAATATATGAGAAGCATCAAATAGAGAAATGTGACTCAAATACACAAACGACCGGGTCGTTATATGCGAGTTTCCTCAAATGGAGAATCATCAATGTTTTTGGCTTTTCTTTCCTTAATTCATGTAGGAAATAGAGTCCACCTATAAGGGGTGATCTAGAGCCCACTAGGCTAAGACACAGTAATTTTAGTAATTACTGTAACCCTAGTATTTTCTATATAAGTACACTTACTGTGTACAATAAAGACATACTCTCTGCAGTATTTTTTTTATGCTCTTCTCTCTCAATTTCATTAGGGTTTAGATTATACTATAGGGGATTGCTCCGTCACAACGTGACAACCACCACCTACCAGTGATTCAGTCGCGATTCGTCCGTGTTCCGCTTTCGCGCCATGAAGAACAAGTACGTTCTTGTTTTACGATTTACACGCTAAATCTAATATGTTTAGATTAACGTGTTCCTTTATTGGTATCGGAGCCATAGGCTGATTTTCTGGTCCAAAAAAAATTATAAAACTGTTCTGATTTTCTATTGAATCTATAACAGTGATTTTGCAATTTTTGAGTGTTCACTGTGCAATTGGGGATTGATAATTTTCTGCTTAAACACTGATTCAAGATTAAGTTTAGAATTAGTTTTAACCGTAGTTCTTAATCTGGTATTTATTTTTTCAACTATGGAAATTATTTTTTTAAACCAGATAAAGGAAAGAACAAATCTGTCCAATGTCACCAAATAATTTGTAATTTTATTCAATCAGTTTTTAGAAACTGATCAAAAATACTTTAAAAGAAAGAAAGGGAAATCAGTTTCTCTTGTTACATTTTTTTTCGATCTGCCTGTCCTCATCGCCGCCGGAATACAACCACCGCCGCTGGTGGATATCAATTTTTTTCTGTCACTAAGAAGAAGGTTAGAGAGGTCATGACTTCTCCAAAAATAAACCCAAAAAAAAGATTGAAGCTTGGTGCTTCAATAATGGGTGGCGGCAAACTTGAAGAAGAGAAGGAGAGAAAATATTTCTCTCCAAGTTCTGATATTCAGAAGTTTTATTTTAAAAAAATGATAAATAAATAAATAAAAATAGGTAAAACTTTGTGTTCCATAATGGTGACGGCTGAAATTTGCAAGAAAGAAGAAGAAGAAGTAGTAAGACCTAGTTTCCCCTCCTAGGAAGTCTAAGTTTATGTTATTTTTTAAAAGGCAGAATAGCCTAGGTGACACTTGTACTTGTTCCGGTTTGTCATCCCGGTCCCTACACTCCTTAAAGTTTCATCCAGACACTTCATCTTAATCAAAACAAGACTTTTAAACACCTCCGAAATCGTGTGATGCTCACTTGCTTGACGTGGATGACAAATCAGCATCCACATCAGATTCTATACCAAAATAATATTATTTAACAAAATTTTAATTTCATAAACAAAAAATAAAATAAAAAAAGCAAAAAATTAAAATTAAAATTAAAGAAACCCTCCCTTCCCTTCTTCAAACCCACCCCCTCAACCTTCTTAAAACAATAACCCACCTGCCATGGCTCCTCCACCATGAGTACGAGGAGGGGGGCGACATAGGACCTTTGAGTTTTCTCTCCCTCTCTCCCCCCGTGGCCATTCTGTTAGTCATAGAGAAATGAGGAAACAGAATTTAGAAGATCCATTGTTGGACCCTTCTCCTGCTAGTTTCAATAGAAGACAGAATATTCAGTTGAATTCTGAAGGAATTTCGTTAATTGGGCTTTAAAAAACTATGAAAAATAAAGTTAATTGACACCATGATCATGGAATTTCACTCTTTAGCTTTACTTTAGAGAAGTGAAGTGTCATGTTAATGGGGGGGGGGGGGGGTACGAGGGGCTGAAAAGAGGGGCGCAGAACGGAGGGCTGAAGAAGAAGAAGAGGGGGAGGGGGGGGGGGAACGAAGGGCTGAAGGGGGGGGGGGGAGGTGGGTAGACCGAAGGGCTGAAGAAGAAGAGGAGGGGGAAGGGGTGAGAATGAAGGGGTGGATGGAGGCAGAACATATTTTATTTATTTATTTATTAATTTTTATTTTTTAATAAAGAAAAATCATCAGCTCACGCACCTTAGGTGCGTGTAAATCGCTCATTTTGTCCACTTCAGCCATATCAATGCCACGTAAGCTCGGTCAATGGTCAAAAGGGTTTTAAAATCTTATTTTGATTAAGTTGAAGTGCCTAGGTGAAACTTTATGAAGTATAGGGACCGGGATGACAAACCGGAACAAGTACAAGTGTCTCCCAGGCTATGCTGCCTTTTTAAAATAAACTTGGGCTTCACAAATGTTTGGGCTTGAAAAGCTTTAAAGTCACATGGACTTATTTGTTCTAAAGATTGGCAGAATATATGGGCTTATGGCCCAATTAAAAAACTTGGACCATCTGTAGTTGGGCTAAGTTTCCACTATAATAGATGGAGCTTCGGAAATTATTTTGATGAAATTGGGTAAACAACAAGTCATAGGCTTCTTCCTTCTGTCAGCTTTTGAAACAAGAAGCCCAAAACGAAATTGCTTTGCAGTCTATTATGGGCTAATGGCCTAATTAAAAGCTACCAAAATAGGTTTTGTCTTTATTAAAATAAATTTCAGATTATTAAAATAGTCATATTGACTTAATTTTCAGGATATAAATTTAGTACTTATATTTTTTTTATGAAAACTATAATGGTTTTATTATTTAGATTGCTTGAAATGTTAATTAGTTAACATTAAACTTGCTTGTTAATTTGTTTAACATTACATTAATTTGTTAATTTATTTAACATGCATTAAAATATTAATTTTTTCAATATTATATTTATTTGTTAATTTTTTTAACATGCTTGGAATGTTAATTATTTTAACATTACTTTTGTTAATTAGTTTAACACATGATTTATGTTAATTTGTTGAGCATGATATAAATATTAATTAGTTTAATGTTAGAAATACTTGTAATTTGTTTAACATTTTTAATATGTTAATTGGTTTAACATTAAAATAAATTTTATGTAAATTTGAATAGCATGTAATAAATATTAATTAGTTTGACATTAATTTAATTTACGTGCTAATACGAATTATTTGTTAACGTATGATCCATATGAGATTGTAAAATCGTGATATATAATTATGTTGTCTTAAATATGATTAAGACGCTTAGCTAGATAATTGAATAGGTTAATTTTTATAATATTTAATTCTTGGACGATGATTGGGAACAGAGTGAACTTTTGACTCCATGATTAATATATATGTTTACTAACTTAATCAATTGATGCATAATGTCATGATATGTATGTATGTTGAACTTCGTGCCTTGCATTATTTTTTATTTCTACAGGATCCTCATAATATTTTATTTTTTTTAAAGAATGAATACTGCTTCGAAAAATATTGTTGCTGAGCTCAAAAAAGGGTTGAAACTCAATGGTGACAACTATGAAACCTGGAGCTTGAAAGCCCAGTATATGCTAGAAGAGCAAGAGGCTCAGGAGGCTTTTAATAATGTCATGAATGAGCCTGCGCAGCGTAGGCGTGAGCGTGAAGCTTACGACGGTTGGAAGAAAAATTAAGAACTACATTGCTCGCATTACGTTGTTGAGCACCTTAGATGATGACATCCTAAGGGTGTTTAAGGAACACCAAAGAGCTATGGATATTTGGAATGCTTTAAGGAAAAGGTTTTGTACTTGTTCCACTGCAAGGCTACGATCCTTAACGATTAAATTTGATTCATGTAAGAAACGCCCAGAACATTCAATGAAAATACATCTGAGGCAAATGACAAATATGATCAGGGAGTTGAAAGATGCTGGTCATGTGTTGACTGATGAAAACAAATCCAAGCTATCATACGCTCTTTACCTAGTTCTTAGGATCATATGAAAATGCATTTGACCCATAATGAGCGAATCACAACTTTAGAAGATGTCCGGAGACACCTTGAGTTAGAGGAGGAACGACTTGAGGCTGTAAAGCCAATGGCTGAGTTGCACATGGCAACAACCTCCAAAACCAAAAGTGATTCAAAGAAAAGGAACTGGGAAAGAAGAGAGGGCCTCCTCAAGCTCAGCCGGCTCGGCCTGCTAAAAGAGTAAAGACCGAAAAAGGCAAGAACAGACGTCCTAAATGTGTCAGAGTTGCTAAAGTGAAATGCTATAATTGTGACAAGAAGGGTCACTATGCTAGAGATTGCTCTGATCCTCCAAGAAAGGTATTTCACGATGCTCGAATTAGTGAACTTTGTGTTTCTAATTATGTTTTTCTAAATGAATCTACTCCTTCGTGGATTGTAGACTCAGGAACAACGGACCACATAGCCTGGGAACACAGTGCCTTTGTTGAGTTTCGGCGAGTTCCACGTGGATAAAAGTGGATATATGTGGGCAACAACAATAAAGTTATTGTTGAAGGGATCGGTACATGCAAGTTAGTCTTGCGTGCTGGTCGAGACCTAATACTTCATTATGTTCTCTTTGCACCAACAATTCGCCGGAATGTATTTCAGTTTCAGTTTTGCTTAAGTTAGGACTTGACTTTTTGTCATGGCAATTCTACCAAGTTACTTTTGGTTCAACTTTATTTGGTTTAGTTCATGTGACCGGAGGTTTAAATTATTATGGATTTGGATTATGATTCATTTCATAATAATGCTAGTTTTTCTATATTTTTTCTTCACATAAATATGATAGTGATGTAAAAATATGGCATGCTAGACTTGGTCATATTGGCAAACAAAGAATGCAAAGGTTAGCAAAACAAGGTTTGCTTTCCAACATTGAACATCTACAATTATCCACTTGTGACAATTGTCTAGCAGGAAAATCTGCAAGAAAACCTTTTGGTCAAGCGACTAGAGCTGAATATCCTTTGCAATTAGTCCATTCGAACATTTGTGGGCCTAAGAATGTTAGGGCTAGGCATGGAGCAAGTTATTTCATCATATTTATTGATGACTTTACCCGTTTCAGTTATGTCTATTTATTTCTCACAAATTAGAAGCAATAAATTGCTTCAAATGCTATATGAGCTTGGTGGAAAATCAATTAGACAAGAAGATAAAAGTTCTTTGAACTAACCGTGGTCGTGAATACTTATCAATCTAGTTTAATAATTTATGTGATGAAAAGGGAATAGTTCATCAGTTGACTATCCCAAATACTCCGCAACAAATTAGTGTTGTAGAGAGAAAAAACAGAACGCTCCTAGAAATAGTTAGGTCAATGATGTCACAAGCTAACCTCCCAATTACTTATTAGGGTGATGCGTTGCTTACTGTCACATATGTACTTAACTGAGTGCCTACAAAATCAGTTACCACTACTCCATATGAGTTATGGACTAGAAGATAACCCGATCTGAGTGTATTAAGACCTTGGGGTTGTGCTGCCTATACACATGATTGCTCTCACAAATATGACAAATTGGGCCCGTGGGGAAAGAAAAATATCTTTATAAGATACTCTGAACCTCAAAGGGTTATGTGTTTATAGGTCAGCAAGACAGTGGGAGTGTAACTGAGTTTAAATCACGAGATGTCACATTCTTAGAGGATGAGTTTCCTAAGAAGGGAGAGATAGGTCAAGACCTAACCTTATTTGTGATAATGGATCAATAAGTACAAGGATCACTTCATTCGAGTGGGAGAATTTTTACCAAATGATGAATTAGTTTATCACCAAACACCTCCTTCATCATCATATGCGAATGAAAGTAATCCTTCTACATTTAGTGGAAGTGACCAAATGGATCTTGTTCCAAGTGGGAGCGAGATGGTGATAGATCTTGTTCCAAGTGGGATCAGGATTAATGATCTTGATCCGAGTGGGTGCAATATTGGTCCAAATGGGAACATTGATGAATCACAAATAAGACGTGGTTCTCGTAAAAAGATTCCCCGTCGACGATTTGACGTTGAAGGCAGCAAACTATTTATGATGCTCCTACAAGAAGAAAACGAGCCTAAAATGTAAAAGAGGCTCTCTCATGCCTTTCTAAGGATAAAAGGACAAAAGCAATGGAAGATGAATTGGAGTCTATGAGAGTCAACAAAGTTTGGGCACTAGTTGACCTCCCTGAAGGACGCAAAGCAATTGGAAGCAAATGGGTTCTCAAAATTAAGCTCAAGATTGATGGCACAGTTGAGAGATATAAGGATCGACTGGTGGCGAAAGGGTATACACAGCAGAAAGGAATAGACTGCGAAGAGACTTTCTCACCTGTTATACGATTTACCTTAGTTCGCCTGGTTCTAGCTATTGTTACAAGCTTGGATCTTGACTTACATCAGATGAATGCAAAGACTGCCTTTCTCAATGGAGAACTAGATGAAGAAATCTTTATGGAACAACCTGAGTGTTTCATTGAAAAGGGCCACGAGCAAAAGGTTTATAGACTTTTGAAGTCTATTTATGGCCTCAAACAATCTTCAAGGCAGTGATATATACGCTTTCAGAATGTTGTTGTATCTAATGATTTTACCATGATGGATGAAGACCATTGCGTTTATACCAAAAGATCAAGGAACAAGCTTCTGATTTTAACATTGTATGTAGATGACATACTTATAGTTAGAAATGATAAGGAATTTATAAGCGAGATAAAGTCATAGTTGTCATCTCAATATGAGATGAAAGATATGGGTGAAGCTGCATATATTCTTGGAGTTAAGATTTCAAGAGATCGTCCAAAGAAACTATTCTATCTCTCACAAGAGAATTACATTAGAGAAGTTCTTGAACGATTCGATATGCAAAATAGTAGCCCAGTTGAAACTCCTATCAGTAAAGGTCGTACCTTGGGAAGTCAGATGTGTCCTAAGACTCATGAAGAGACATAAACGTTGAGCTGAGTTCCGTATAGGAGCGCAGTTGGAAGACTAATGTATGCTATAGTGTGCACTAGACCTGATATTTGTTAAGCAATTGGCTTGATAAGTAGATATCAAACTGACCCAGGTTTAGCACATTGGCAAGCAGTTAGACGATCATGAGATATCTGAAGGGAACAACTGATTATGCCCTTTGTTACCAAGGCGACAAGGATCTGCAATTAATTGGATACAGTGATGCTGATCATGGAAGAAATCTAGACGAGAGGAAGACTACTTCAGGATATGTTTTCTTACAAAGTGATGGCGCCATATCATGGAGTAGTAAGAAATAATCATGTGTATCACTATCTACGTTGGAAGCCGAATACGTGGCTCTCGCATCAGCAGCACAAGAAGCTATTTGGTTGAAAAAGTTCTTGGAACACTTGTTGGATATCGATGAAAATACTGAACCGGTGTTAGTCTACTGCGACAGTGAGGATGCAATTGTCACGACCCAAACTGATGGGCTGCGACGGACACCCGGTGCCTTACCGATCGAGTACCAACGTAACATATCTTTCTTATCATACTATCATTGGTAACTGGGCCAACATGGCCACAACTCGTAATGTACATCTATAAGTGAGAAAGCACTGTATCAATGAACCATCTTTCTTAAAATATGAATATATATGGGCCGTCAAGGCCTCTGACATACTGTAAAAAATGAATATCTGTCTACAAAGCCTCTAAGAGTATTTGACATCAAACGGGACACGGTACTGGCCTACCCATATGTCTGTAGCAAAATTCTGACACGATGACTCATATACTCAGCTGCACTCCGAATGAGGTGGAGTCTTACCGATCCTTCGTTGAATGCTAACCTCGTCTTCTATGAGGGCTCGTCAAACTGACTGTCTATACCTGCAGGCATGAATGTAGCGTCCCCAACAAAAGGACGTTAGTACGAATAATGTACCAAGTATGTAAGGCACATAAATAAGTATATAAAAGACATGGAAGAAACATGGAGTAAATGACTTAACTTGTAAGTCTGGATAACTTTGTAAATCATGAAATACTTATAGTGTCATGCACATGCATATGAATGTCATGTCGTGCGTAGGTACATGCGTTCATAACATCATCAAGCCTCTGAGGGCATCCCATCATATCATCTCGGCCACTGTGGGCAAAATCATCAACGTATACTAGGTGATCAGGTGGTGGTGCGTATATAACGCCGTAACCTTTTCCCACATCCCACAAATATATATATATATATATATATATACGCTATATATATATATATATGTGTATATATATATATATATATATATATATATATGTATACATATATACGCGTATATAATGCCATCTGGTCATGGGTCAATGTACATATATATATATATGTATACATATATACGCGTATATAATGCCATCTGGTCATGGGTCAATGTACATATATACAATCTACGAGAAGTACATCAATAAAATCTCTTGGAATGTCATAAAGACCATTATTCCTTTGAGTACTATCATGAAGTAAACTTTTTTCAACTACGTATTTTTCTGGGACCCATGAGCAGAAGATGTAATAATAAGACACATGGAAATTCAAGAACATATGCACCTCTAATACTTCTGTGAATAGAGTCATTTATGGTAGTTGTGCATTTGCTCGTTTCGTTTGTGTCGTATAGATTATGCCAAAAGTAAAGAAGGGATAGCCTTAACATACCTGAGCCAATTCTC